ATACAATTACATATTTATTTTGAAAGAGAAAGAAAATATTGACAACAAGTACAAGAATGTTGTGCTAAATATCTCTCACTCTCGTCAACTTTTTGACCATTCCACCTTTTGACTTTTAAAACTTACCCCTAAAGTAATCTTTTTTACACTTTTGGTCCTTCTATTTTACAAGACTTGTGGTTTATAATACGTTATTTTTGTGGGGTTTTAGAAGTGTCCTAGGCAGATGGATTATAGTATCACAAGTGATAGATTATATTATCAAGTCGAGAAACCTTTTATCACGTGTGATAATAAACGTGATGAGGCCTAGTGGTGTGTGGACGACTTGGTTCGCAACCGAGGTCGTGGCAAAGGTTCTCTGCGTCTCTAATTTAGTATCATGTGTGTATCATATGCGATGGATTATAGTATCACAAGTGATTGACTATGGTAAAAAGGTGTTCTCACGTTTTTATAAAATAAAATTGTTCTTATTTGAACCTTCCTTATATCTATATTTCTCTCTATATATATGTTTTGAGAAACCAGACATAAATTTTACGATTTAATTACAATTTTCTTTTGAAATACATAAATTCATAAGGAGGGGCGACTCTCATAGACACATGCACGTTTGTGTGTATATAATATATAAAACAAAGGTTGGGTTCCCGTGAGGATGAAAGTTATAATAAGAAGCATAAGAAGAGATTTACATCATTGGATCAATCATAATTGAATGTCAACACTAATGAGGTGTATCAAGATGCACCCGATCAATTCCCTTCTAAAATGAAATTCATGGATGAATATGAGATTAAAAATGATCAAAAGTTCAGATTTATTTTTACGTTTCTCACCATAACTCCTTCATCTATATAACATATGTTTGGGTATATATGAATATTTTAAATTATTAATTATTAATTATTATTTGCACCACTTGGTATTTGAAATGGTTGGATCTCTTGTTGGAAATCTTAGACACTAAGTAAATCCATCCAAATACTATATATAAAATATAATATGTTTATGCATGTGTGTGTATATATATATATATATGTGTACAATATTTATATTGTAAGTATTTTCATGTTTATTGGGTAAGTACTTACCAGTAATAAGCATTTTTTAGTATTTGGATAAACAATTTATATTGATGTCAAATCGGTAATAAGAAGTTTTTGAAGAAGTTAAATTTTTCTGACTTATAATAAGTTGATAAGTGCTTTTATAGAAAAACATAAGTTGTTTCAAATAAGCAATCTCAAACACCCCCTTAATCACCATCATCATTTACCTTATCAAGTAACATTTTCACTATTAAAAATGGACTGTTAGTAAACGTCATTTACCTTGTAAGAGTCTTTTTTTTCACTTACCTTGTAAGAGTCTTTTTTTTTTTTCACTTACCCGGTAAATTTTTTGACCCTTTCCTCTTAAAGAATGAGGTTTTTTGTTATTATCATCCCACTAGCTAAAAGACAAATGGTACTCAATAAGCACTTGTTCGGTAAGCGTTTGATAAACACTTATCATGCCCACCGGCTAAGACAAATGGTACTCGGTAAGCTTTTGATAAACACTTGTCATGCCCACCAGCTAAGACAAATGGTACTCGATAAGCGTTTGATAAACAACATCTTAATTAACTAAAAGACGAGATTTAAAAAATAAATAAAATACAATAATATTAGTTTTAGTTAAAATATTATATTAATTAAAATAAATAAAAAGATTTATCTTTAATTCTTTATGTAAAGGTAGACACCAAAGTTTTAGATTCTTTAATACACACTAACTTTTAGTAAAGTTATCCACTTTGCCAGTTGTACGGTACAAGTTTCCCAGCACAAAGTACCACATCTTGATGCATTGGTATATCTCACCTACGACTGTTTACGAACTCGATATTTAACGCATCGTCTTCATAATTCTCGAGTTTGAGTTAATCTTGAATATAAAATAGAATAATTTAACCACAAGGGTGATGCCTGATTGATTTAAGCTTGAGCTTCAATGGTCAAAAGTGTCTGGAGGTCTAGGTTCAAATCCAATGAGGTAAAATCCCCTTGACCACAGATGTTCAAATGTGGTGACTCCAGGTTACCTGCAAAACAGGTGGTCGTCCTCGTATTAGTCGGCTCGCATAGTGGTTGAATATCCAGGTTAATAAAAAAAAGATTTCACATCGCCTAATTACGAGGGTTATGGGAAAGTTTAACCGATGTGATGACATCTTAAAGAATGAAGTTTGTGACAAACCGTTCCATATAGATGGAAAGTTAGAGCATCTCTAGTAGGTTCTATATGATTCTTCTGAAATATAGAAGCAAAAGTCAAAATCTCTAAAAAGAATTACATTTAACTACAACTGATTCTCTAGTTTAAAGAGTTCAACGTTAATTATACTGTTAAAATGTTTTGTAATTTTATTATCCCAATACACGTTTTAATTTTTTTATATATAAAATAATAATAATTTAATCTGATTGGTAGGAACGAATAAAAAAATCATTTATCAGTTTTTTAGAATTCTATGAACTTGAAGAAATTTATCTTGTTTTCTTCATTTTAGATAACAAATATAAAGAACCTGTTAGAGCAAAATACAGAACAAAACATCCATTTTCTCTGTATACGTTGGAGATGCGCTTACATTTCTGAGCTTTTATAAGCTCAGTTTTTTTTTGAAGTATATAATATTTATACACGACAAATGCAATAAATAAACTCACACATCCTCCTAACATTTGGTGAGATTTGAATCTTTGACCTCCTAGAAGGCCAAAGACTACGATATCACTAGGTCAAAGGCCCTTTGGTTAAACTCAAAAATTATGGACTATCAATAACTTTCGTCATGATTTTAAAGTTGTATATTGCCATACGAACATCACGTTTTGAAGCCGGAAATGTTCATATGTTAATAAATTATACAATCAAAATATAAAAGTCATCGTGTTTAATCCATCTAGAAGGTGTTGGAGTGTGTACAGTAATACCCAAGTTGTAAAAAGTAATATGATATTTTTTCTTGACGAATATACAGTTCAGAAGATTAGAGAACGAGTCATTATAATACGAGTAGTGTTATGTATTTGTATTTTCATAATAATACTGACTTCATTATTTTTGTTCAATTTACATAGGGTTTGAGCAGGGTTCCGTGCACCCACTGAATTTTAAGTGGTGTTCCAGAATATTAGAAAAAATAAACCAAAAAACTTACGAAATTTACTCAAACGATGGAATTTGGTTAAAAACACATCGGACGACTTTGCGGACCTTTAATACACCTTAAAGTTGCAGCAGGTCGGGAATTTTTTGGGTTCGTTACTGAATTTACCTACATAAATCTGATATGAAATCTTGAGCTATAAATCTAGTATCTTTTCGAATCAAACCCAGATTAAAAATCTACAAGATTTTTTTTTAAATTACCTGTAAAATACAACATATATACAACGTATAGTTCCCATGCAATATAAATTAATTTTTTAAAAGGTTTGAGTGTGACATGTCTTTTTTGAAGTATATAACATTTATATACGACAAATGCAACAAATAAACTCACATATCCTCCTCGCAATGGATGAGATTTGAACTTCTGACCTTATTGGAATTATTTATGCACTTTCATAAAATATTATATTTTAAGAAAAAAATGAGCGTGAGACACTATGATTAAGAGAAATTAAAATAAATAATTATTTATAGGAATCAAATTTATCTTTTAGTCATTTTTTTCTAGATTTTTTAAAATATCATTATGTCCGCAAATTATGATTTGCAGATGAGCTAAAAGGAAAAAAAAAATCACTTTTCACCCACTTACGGAGGTGCCACTTCCGGACTTGGGTGAAAAGTGATTCTTTTTGTCTTTTAACTCCTCCACAAGTGATGGAGGCAGTGATATTTTAAAAATCTTAGATGAGAAATGTCTAAGGGATTGTTTGTTTACCTCTTAATATTAAGAGGTAACATCTGAATCGTTAAGAGGTGAATCTTGTTTGGCAAAAAAAAAAAAAAAATCGTCTCTTAATGGTTCTAAAACCCATCTAAATGATTTTGTATATTGGATTTTCGTTAACCATTAAGAGTCCTAATTTCATTATACACAATTACCAAACAATTATATTTCATTTTGCACTATATCATGAGAGTTTTTTAATCATTCTGATCATTTAATCATTATACATCAAATCATTCAACAATTGCCAAATATGAATTTGATGTCTAAATCCATCAATTTTCCTATAATTAAATGGTTATGACGTGGATTTAAATGAAATCATATGGTATAATCATGACATGGGTGCATGGCCGATCAGAGATGTTGGGCATCACACGGTACGTAAAAATTATATGGTATATTTATATTAAATCATAAAACATTTAAAAAAAATTTAAAAACCTTCTTATATATAAAGTATTGTTTATTAATATATTATTTAAAAATTAAAATTACAATTAAATTATATATAAATATAAAATATTAAAGCTTTATGTTTGAATCTGTATAACTAATAACAAATAAACATAATTAAATAACAATAAACATCTTATTTTAAATATAAAAAAGATATTTTACCCTAATTCATGAAATAAAAAGACAAACATAAACTATAAGGTCCAGAAAGAAAAATGTCTCCAAACCCCAACTCTCAATATCATAAACCACATGATTTCTTGTTGGTGGGGTCCCTCAGCAACCTTTCTCAGTGGGCTGCAACTCTGCAAGTGACCGCTCTCCCCTGCATTCTCTCACTTTTTTTCCTTCATCATCTCCCAAATATATATATTCACTAGTGAATAACGGAGGATCATGCTTCTTATTCATCCTCATTTACTCCATTTTCTTCTCTTTAACCTTGAAAAAAAGATTTTATTCACTTTATTAGTTTCCTAAATACTGCTGTTTTCATTCATTGGATTCAATAATGCGATCACCTTTTTCGCCTTTTTTGTGCTTTTAATCTTCTACTAGACCCTTGTTACTTCCTTTTTCTACCACAGATATAGAAGAACCCAGATGAGGACTGATCGTTTCTTCTTCTTCTTCTTACTTTTCTTCTCTGTTCTTGTTCTCAATTCCATGGATATCACCACAGCCCAGATTCCAGGTTCACTTCTCTCTCTCTCTCTCTCTCTATTATATGTATGCATGTATGTATGGATGTATGTATGTATGTATATGTATCTGTTATTTGTGTATCTGGGTTCCTGTTTTCTGTAAATATAACTGCTTGCCAACATGCATTTGTGGGTTTCTTGATCTTTTTTTTCCTTGATGGGTGTATCTTTTGCTGGTTTCTTGAAGTTTCAATTTTCTGTTCTTGTTTTTGGATTTCTTGTTGGGTTTGCTGAATTGAGCACTGCAAATTTGTTGATCTTGAATGTAGATTTGAACAAGAAGTGCATAATTTAGGAACAGATTCTGAAATTTGAGACGAAGTAGTGGATTGAAAGAAAGAGTTGGGTTTAAAGTTGTGCCCTAATTGGAATGAACAGCTGCTATCAGTTATATCTTTTTGGGGGGGAAAACTAGTTGATGACTTCAGAAGATGATGAAGGTAAAGAATTGTCGTGCAAAGTGATCAGGGGTCGAAATCCCTTATTATACTTCTCACTTTAACTCCTATCCTCACATGATTATTCGTCTAGTAATACCGTATAATTATATAGATTATGCTTAGTGTTCCAAGATTCTTATGGTTCCATGTGTGTGGTGTTGGAGTACCATATCAAATCAACTAAGTTGCATGGGTCGTAGTGTTGGGCGATAAGGAAGACCCGTGAATAGACACATGAACGGAAGATGGATGTCAGAGAAATGAGGATGCTTAGATGGATCTATGGTAAAACCAGGTTCAATAGGATACTGAACGAGGCCTTCAGGGTATTATTGGGAGTTGTTACTATCGCGGGTAAGTCAAGGGAGGGGAAATTGGTGGTTTTTTTCACATTAGTAGGAGACAGATGGTGGCTCGAGTGAGGAGGATAGAAAGAGTGATGGTTGAGGGATAGGCCGAGGAGGACATGGTTTGAGCAACTCGGGTTGGACACGACGACTTTAGGCATTTGCGATGACATGACCTCAGACAAGAGATATTGGATATGATAAGGGTTCCCATAATTTGTAACACCCCCTTCATACTAGTCCTAAGACAACGCGTCACAACCGAAAGTGGATCAAAAGTATGCAATTCAAAGTACAGAGCTTTAACAGAACTCCCAAAAGGTCACATGACATCCATCAGTAATCATATATATAGCATATTTACAAGTTCACATAACCAAGACATTGATTAAACAACTAGGTGTCTTGCGTCCCATGACATCTTGATCGCTCATCCCGCCCTTGGGTTAAATCCTGAACCTTCCGAGATGAAACAAGCAGAGCAGGGTGGGGAGCTATAACTAGCGTTGCCGAGTTAGTGAGTTGGACTAGGGGTGTGTATTTTCCTTCCTTTGCTTATGTTTTCTTGTGTACCTTCTTCTATTTCTTAATATTTTTGCATATACGCATTTCCCCACTTTCACACTTTTCACAAGTCGGGTCTTCACTGAAACAACCGCTCTACTCTTTTGAGCAAAGATCAGGTCTGCATACGTCTTACCCCTCGAAGACCCACCTCCGGGTATGACATACTGGGCTCGTTTGGTTTTGGAGTACCACATCGACTAGACGATAACCATCAAACATGTATATATTTAGGAACCTTCTCTCTCTATATAGACTATTTTACAAAGAGATTCAAAGGGGTTCTACGTATCCTTTCAAGGGGCTTGGGGGTGTTTGTTTGGTTTTCCATTAAGTCCTATATGGATAAAGCTTTCTGTGTGGATTAATTAGACTGTAGAGATTGGAAAAGTTTTTGCTTAGGATGGTTTTTCCATAGATGGAAGGAACGTTTTTTTTTTTATTGGGAGTGACAGGTTAGGAAAAACTTGTTTTTTGCATAAAACTCCCCCGAAAAGCTTACTGAATAAGTCACTACCAAATAGTCATGTATAGCTGACTGAATAAGCTGTAAGTCTCATTAAGCTGCTAACAGACATGCCCTTAGTTAACGTTTTCTTTGCTTCCTCTTTCTCAAAATTTTTATTTTTGCTGACAAATTTGTTGATGAAAGCAGGTTTTACGAGTCTTGACTGTGGCGGTCAAAGCAATTTCACAGACGAGCTCGGCCTTGACTGGACTCCCGATAATCAAATAATTTACGGAATCACGAGTAACATATCTGTCACGAATGAAACAAGGCAGCAATATCAAACGGTCAGATATTTTCCGGCAGATAGCAGGAAATATTGTTACACACTTGACGTTAAAAGTAGGACTAGGTACCTTATAAGAGCGACATTCTTATATGGAAATTTTGATAGCAACAATGTTTACCCGAAGTTCGATATCTCCATGGGGCCTACTCGTTGGGCTACGATCGTCATTTCAGATGCTAATATTATTGAGTCTCAAGAACTGATCTTTTTGGCTTCTGGTTCTACCATTAGTGTCTGTTTATCAAACGCTACAACCGGGCAGCCATTCATCTCTACACTCGAGCTCCGGCCATTCAATGGCTCAATCTATCTTACACCGTTTGAAAACCAATTCTTTCTTAGCGTTTCCGCAAGAATAAACTTTGGGGCAGAAAACGAAGATCCCGTCAGGTATTTTTCTATGTTCTATACTCGGGCCATGTTTGGCAACCATAAGCTAGCTATTATTTGAGCTTATTGAAAAAGCCCGTTTGATTAGCCAGCTTTTTGAAGTTGCGTTTCAATAAGCTCCAGAGTTTTTTTTTTCTCCACTTTTTTTCCAATTATGTTTCTTATAGTTTTCCAATTAAGTTTTCAGCATGTTCTTTTGGGTGCGTTTGGTACACTTGATAGGACAGGATAGAAAAGGATAGGGATCACTGTTCTACGGAAAAGCATGACTTTTATGTGGAACAGACAGGTTCATAGTGGAAGAGCTCTGTTCCACCCCCACCCCATGGAACAAGGTGGGACAGAGCCATATTTTATCAATATAACCTTAAAATAGAACCTAATTCTCTTCTAAAACACCATATACGTCTCCCTCTTTACATTTTATTCATTCTTTAAATTTTATTTTATTGTATTTTATGCTCTTTAGACTTCCACTTTACTGTCCTCAAAATATTATTTTTATATAAAAATTGGAAACTACATAAACTTTTTATTTTGGTGTCATTTTACTCATTTGATGAAAACTTTCTAATGGTATGTAAAAAAATGTTTATTTCATTATAATTTAATAAATTACATAAATTAACCAATATATATAAATATATATAAAAAACTCATCAGGGGTAAATTGGTCATTTTATCTGTTCTAGTTCTGTCTTACCAAACGCTGAATATTTGTTTTGTTCTGTCCTACCCTGTCTGGATATGGAACGCACCCTTTAAGTCAATTTTACATTGTTAGCCAACTTATCAACCGGTTTTTACCAAACACGACTAGCTTTTCAACTAGTTTGCCAAACATAGCCTTGATCCATTCAAGAAAGTGTTGATTCTTGAAAGTATTTTGAGGGCGTTTCTAAAAAGAGATATATGTTGTGAAAATTGTTCAATTATCGTCTTAGGTACCCAGATGATCCGTTTGATAGAATATGGCAATCTGATTTGGTGAAGAAAGCAAATTATCTAGTTGATGTTGCTGCCGGGACGGACAGAGTGTCAACGGAATTGCCCATTGATACCGGAAAAGACGAGCAACCACCTCAGAAAGTGATGCAAACGGCTGTCGTTGGCCGGAATGGAACGTTGACTTATCGGATGAACTTAGATGGGTTCCCAGGCTTTGGTTGGGCTTATACTTACTTTACGGAAATTGAAGACTTAGCTCCCACCGAGACTAGAAAGTTCCGGCTAGTCCTCCCGGGAGCGCCGGATCTTAGTAAACCGATCGTTAACATCCAAGAAAACGCTCAGGGGACATACCGCTTGTATGAGCCAGGATTCGAAAACATATCACTTCCTTTCGTTTTGTCTTTTAAATTCGGGAAAACATCGGATTCTACTCAAGGGCCACTTGTTAATGCGATTGAGATTAGTAAATATCTCAAAATAAGTGATGGATCTTTTGATGGTAAGTGAACACTAAGTTTTTATTTCAAGAACTGTGATTGAATTCTGATTCTTTATATGGGTTTTCTTTGATCTATAGGGGCAGTGGCTGCAAGCTTAGTGTCGGTTTACGAGTCGTTAGATTGGGCTCAAGAAGGCGGTGATCCATGTCTGCCGGTTGCGTGGTCGTGGTTGGAGTGTAATTCAGATCCTGAACCGAAGATTATTTCAGTGTATCTTCTTTTAACTTTGTTATCTTGATCTAAAATTCTAATACTGGGGATTTGGTATGCGGGACAGGATATAACAGAACAAAAACTTGTTTCACGTCTGGTGCGACATTTAAGGATTGTTTGTTAGCAGCTTAATGAGTTTAATGAGACTCGCAACTTATTCGGTCAGATATAAATGATTGTTTGGTAGTGGCTTAATGATGTAGGAAGTGGCTTATTTAGTAAGCTTTTAAAGAGAGCTTTATGCAGAAAGACGAGTTTTTTCAAAACCTACCCCTTCAAATTAGAAAACACGCTCCTTCCATCTATGAAAAAAAACCTTACCAAACAAAAACCTTCCCCATCTATATAGACAGATTAATCTACATAGACAACTTTATCCATACAAGACTTAATGAAAAACCAAACAAACAGCCCCTTAGACCAGGACAGGAAAAATACATTTTTTGTCCCACCAAAACACGTGGAACATAAAGCAAGAAGACTTGACAAGATTGATAATTGTAAGATCCCACATCGGTTGGGGAGGGTAACAAAGGTTGTCTTATAAGGGACTGGATACCTCCTTTATCAGACGTAAATCCAGGTGTGGATAAAGCGGACAATATCTGGTATGGTTAGCCTGGGATGTTACAGATAGTTCAGAGCCGGGAACCAGACTGTGTGCCAGCGTCCCAAGGCGGGTGGATTGTAAGATCCCACATCGGTTGGGGAGTGGAACAAAGGTTGCCTTATAAGGGACCAAATACCTCTATCAAACGTGTTTTAACATCGAGTCCATATATGGACAAAACGGACGATATCTGGTACTGTTAGCCTGAGATATTACATATGGTATCAAAAATGGGAACCGAAATGTGTGCCAACGAGGATGCTGGGCTCCCAATGGGGATGGACTTTAAGATCCCAAATCGGTGGTTAGTCTGGGATGTTAAAATAAATTACTAAACTACTCTTGTCAAATTAAAACCCTAAAACCTTAACTGGAATTAGACTGAATATTTTCTGATTTAACGCAGCAAATTGTCTGGCAAGAACTTAACCGGAAGCATTCCTTCAGATTTGACCAGGTTGAGCAACTTAGAACAGTTGTAAGTTTCAAATCTGCACGTTTTTCTCGATGGCATAAGTTCCGTTCATTTGGTGTTAATGGAATCATGTAATTTTGACCGTTAATTTTTGCGGCTTTCTAACTACAGGTGGCTCGATGGGAATGCATTGACGGGTCCGATTCCTGATTTTACTGGATGCCCAAACTTAAAGATCATGTAACAGTTATTGTTATATTTTCGTCGTCCTATGGCCTGAGGTTTGATTCGTTTGATAGTCTAACTTATAGTTTGGTCTTGCAGACATCTTGAGAACAATCAGCTGAGCGGTGACTTGCCCTCCTCGTTAGCGGATCTACCTAATTTAAGCCAGCTGTAAGTAAATTATTATTCCATCCGTCTCGAGAATCCACTTGTATAGTTTTCTAAGGGAAGTTCAAATGAGAACCATAAATATTTTAAGAACCAGGGAACCAACTTTTTCATGCATTATTCATGATGAATAACCTTGAATTATCATGAATATCATTCATCATGTATATCATGCATTTTTATCATGAATAGTATGTTATGAATAATTTTCATCATCAATATCTATCACAACATTCATAATGAATAAAGCATGAATGGTCGGTTTATGGGTTCTCAAAATGTTTAAGGTTCTCATTTGAACAGGCCCCTAGTTTTTTATATCCCGGAAAAGTCAATATTCTGCATTTGAAAGTCAAACATGTTATGTTTCAAGATCAAGATCGATGACAGATTTCATTTCGTTTTTCAGAAGAAAACATGGACCCTGTCTCTGTTTATGACCTTCTTAACTTGGTTTTTTTTTGATGAATCTAACATATCCAGGTATGTGCAAAATAACTTGTTATCTGGTGAAGTGCCATCGGGTCTTCTAAACAAGAACTTCGTCTTGAAGTGAGTATTTCTTCTTCAAAGTCGAACGTGCATATAAACACAGTTGGCATTCATGTGTTTATAGCGATAAGAAATGTGTTGAAACGGTTTTAGATTTGCATATATGGTTATCATGCTTCAAACTTGTATCATATTCATATGTGAATATACGTTGAATAACTTTCAAGTTATGAATAATTTGACTGCTTTTTTTTCCTTTTCAGCTACACAGGAAACGTCAATCTTAGTAAAGGAAGTAGCGGAGGGAGACGCAATCGAAACATTATTATTGGACTAGCAATCGGGGCTATTGCCCTTTTCTTAGGATTCATAACCTCGTGCCTACTCCTTCGTCAACGAAAGAAATATCCGAAACCAGGCAAGCTCACGCAACGTGCCCTTTGGTTAAATGACAATCTTACGGGGGGTTTTAAATTCACACCTTCTGACAGGTTTGAGAATGCCACTCCATACACAAGAATGCCTAGAAACACCTGTCAAAAGGTCATGGATTTTTAAAACCACCATTTAACTAAATAACCCCTCATGGAACACTTGTTCAAACGCATTGTATTCACATGTGAATAAAATGAAGCATGACTAGGCGTGTTCCATGCATATGTGAATATGTGATTGCTTTTACACTTTTAACATTTAGTCTGTTGGTTTTTTATGTTCTTTTGGCAGAACCTAAACATGGCATGCCTGTTATGAGCAATGCAGCCACAGAAGCTGCTCAATGCTTCACGTTATCCGAACTAAGGAACGCCACAAAGAATTTCGAAAAGAAAGTGGGCTCGGGAGGATTTGGCACCGTGTATTATGGAAAATTAAATGACGGAAAGGAAATTGCTGTCAAACTTCTTGAAAGTAATAACGTTTATCAGGGCAAGAAAGAGTTTGCAAACGAGGTAACTTTCTGATCGATGAACTTCTCGTGTTATTATACTTTTTCGTGTTTATATACTAATCATATACAAATTATGCCGATCAAGGTGACTCTTCTTTCACGAATCCATCATAGAAACTTGGTACAATTTTTGGGATTTTGCCAAGAAGAAGGGAAGGATATTCTTGTTTATGAGTTTATGCATAATGGAACACTCAAAGAACATCTTTATGGTTAGATCTTGCTTACGCTCTTTATGTTCTTGACCCGACACAAATTCTCAAGTGATAATGAATCTTTTGTGTTTAAATTTAGGACCTTTAGCTAGAGCACGAGGGATTAAATGGATCAAACGACTCGAGATTGCTGAAGAGTCTGCAAAAGGTTTGAATTTAGGACCTTTAGCTACAGTTCTAGGTGTCTTCACGGAAACAACTGCTTTGTTGTCGGGGGTAGATGTTAGGTCTGCGTACATCTTACCCTCCTCAGATCCCACCTCTGGTGGGATAGACCGTGTTCGTTTGGTTTCTGCATAAGGTCTGTTTATTGGAAATCAAGATTTCTTTTTTCTTGAAAGATCTGGAAAACCACACTCGACCACGGTCATTGACTCACCACGATCATTCGTTAGGCAATAAACACGCATCATATTTGAACCCACGACTTGGCCATTAGTTGATGTGAATCAAGATTTCTTTGGATATATATAGGTGAAAGATTGTGTGAGAAAAATAGTTAAGATGAGAAGTGTAAGAAGAGATCTGAACGCTTGATCACTTTTAATCTCATGTCCACCCATGAATCGCGCTTTAGGAGGGAATTGATCCGGTGCATCCCGGTGCACCTCATCAGTGTTGACATTCAATTAGGATTGATTCAAAGGTGGAGATCTCTTCTTACACTTCTCATCATAACTTTCCTTCTCACCAAAACCCAACCCTATATATATATATATATATATATATATATATGTATATATATATATATATATTATATGG